GGACACAAAGGAGAGACGTGATATTTGCTCTACAAGTCCATCATATGTTGCCAATCCGAAAATTCAACAGTCCACAACCCAGAAACCTGCAACTAGGCAAAGGTATGCACTTCCTGGAACCAGTTCCAAACCTCCTAATCTCATCAATAGGAATTTAAAAGGTGAAAAAGCTGCTTCACACTTATGCAAGCAACGAGATTCTCGTAGAATGCTTGGAGTTTCTTTTGATGATTCTGCAGGAAAAAGAAGTATCCCACCCACAGTCACGACCCACCCTGCTGATGTTCCTCACTTCCTTGGAAGAATCCATGCATCTACTGCCTATAAACCACCATGGATGAGGAGACACTCTTCTCCAAGGCATTCAATGCCACATTCTGTTCCACCAGCTGTCTGAGCAGCAACCAAAGTCAAGCTAATGACTTTAAACAAGCGCTTAGTGGGAGGCAACCCACTAGTAAGTTTTCTTTTTCATCTATTAGTTTAGTTTTCTATTACATAGCTAAAAAAAAAAAAAAACCCAAAAACATGAAAAAAAAAAAGAAAAAAAAAAAAAGAGTCAGTTTGTTCAGTTTGCTTGGATGATGTCTTGTGAACTTGTTGGACCATGGATTATGCTTTGTTTGGATGTTTTGCTGTGTGTTTTGAGTGCTCTTACAGTTTGACTTCGGAGTACACATGATGGCATAGCATTTAAACATCCAACATGTCGATTTCTGGAGTATCAGAGATGGCGACGCTCGTCACCAATCTGGTGACGCTCGTCACTAGCTCCTTCGCGAGGTACCACTTTTCCACCTTGGTTCTACAACTTCTCATGCTTCATTTTGACCAACTCTTGGCTTAATAACACTGGGGACAGTGTTTTTTAAGTCTGGGGGAGGTGGTTACTGACGTTGTGTGCTTTGTGTCATGTCTATAGAGTCTTAAAGTTGAGTCAAAAAACCTGTTTTAGAGAGTCAAAATTTTGAAACTGTCAGTTTTTCTTGGAACTAGCCATATGACGTTTTTGCTGATAAGAACCATTGCCACAGTAGTTGATTACAAGTCTTACTAAGTTGAAAGTCATAGGTAGATCAGTCTAGCAATGAAGGTTTAGGTTCTTAGAGAGTCTGAAAAATTTGCTATTAGCTCCACCTTAATGAACTTTAAACTTCTTGTCTTGGTGATTGATTCTTATTGATCTTGATTCTCTCTTTCAGCACTGAAAATAAAGTTAAAATACAGTCTCTCTTTGATCTTCCCTGATGTAGTTTTTAAAAGATTAAGTCCAAAGAATGGTGCATTCATAACCCTGTCTCCTCACAAGGAACAACAGTAGTGAACACACTCAAGAACCTGTCTCCTCACAAGGAACACAAGTATTGAGTAGCACCATTTCTTAGACTGAAAAAGTTGAGAAAAAGAAGTGAAAAATCGAAAATATCCTAAGGAAAAAGATTAAGGGAAGAGAAAATAGGAGAGCTGTGTTGAGATTGATTTGTTCAGTTGTTAGGAAGAGAAAAGAATCTGTAAAGTGATTGAGATGATAGAGCCTTGATGAGATTTCACACTTAGATAAAAAATAAGGAGTTAACAGTATAAATTTCGGATTTCTTGAAGGAGTTTGGACTGGACTTGAAAGATTTGCTAAGCTTGTGATAATTAGACTGAAATTTGACCTTGTGTTGACTATGTGGTATGTGGATTCGAAAGCTCTAACTAGTGTGGTGTTCCCGATGACTGACTGACTGTTTCTTGTTTTCAAACCTCGACCTTATTCTTTGTGTAATGTTTGCTTGAGGGCAAGCAAAAGCTAAGTCTGGAGGAGTTGATATATCATGGTTTTTATGGTTTTTAACCATGATATAAGTCCTTTTTATTGAGTCTTTTTGGTCTTTTTAGAGTCCTAGAAGAGTCTTTGCAGGTTATAGCATGTCTGGAGCATAACTGGAGATTTTGGAACCTTTTGGAGCATTCTGAGTTGAAGCCACGAAGTACCTAGCTCGAAGAAGAAAGTATGCCATATGGTGACGCTCGTCACCAAGCTGGTGACGCTCGTCACCCAGAAAGGAAGGGGTCGTGGCCTGTTTTTAAAAGATTGGGAAAAAATTGCAGTTTTGGCCCAGAAGTTCTAGTTTTTGCAAAAAGGCCTCAGATCGTGTTTTAGCTTGTATATTAGGTTTTTCAGCCATTCTTTTGGGAGATATCTTGTATCTTATTATTTTAGAGAGTTTTAGAGAGAGATTTGTAGAAGAGCTTTTGGAGAGACAAATAAGACTTCTTCAGAGCAGATTTCGAACTCCTTTATTTCTACTTCTTATTTCTTTTATGCAATCTATTCTTTTCATGATGTTTTCTCAAATCACCATGTCTGAGTAGTTTGTTAGTTAAGTTAGGGCTTTTCAAAGGTTGAAGAAGAGTTTGTAGAATTGCTAAAAACTTTTAGGAAATTCATTGGTTCTTCATCTGTACTTGCATTCATATCGATTTCTTAGACACATCATCTGGATTTCGAAACCCTAGGTTGTTTGATAGATGTGAGAGCATTATTGATAACCTGAACTAGTATTAGATGAGCAAAACGCCCTAGTACAAAGAGATTTGGCTTAGGAGTTTTGTGAACAATTGAACCTGATCATTACTGCATGTTTAGGTTGTTAGGGTTTGCAAAGAGATTTGAAACTCTGTGATTTAGACATAGATAACTTCTGCAATGAGAATTGATTAGTTATATCTTTGCGATTCATGTTCAAGACGGTTTTAATTCATTCCTGATTGCATGCATTCTACACTCTCAGATTCAACCTGCGAACTGTCCTGACTTAGCGCCTTTAGCTTTCTGAACTTTAAGAACAAGCATAAAAACGCCCACTTGCTTTTATTACTTTAGTTATTTCGCATTACATTCATTACTTATTGCTTAGCTTAATCTGAATCTACATTTGATAGTGTAGTTTACTTACTCCCTTGGGATTTCGATACCCCTTGTACTACAACTGCTTTTGCTGTGCACTTGCAGTAGTTTTATTTGGGTAAAACCTGACCCTTATCAGCTACCGACACCGTTTCTCTTCCGATCAAATCCTAAGCTTCATTCCAGTTATAGGGAACCATAGATCCTAACACCATCATCTTCTTCTACGATTAAATCTCTGCTTTTCCAGGTGAAAATAACCAAACACCATCATCTTCTAGAACCCAAAAAAACCTCAAAACCCTCCGATTCAACTCGCCACCAGTAACCTCCCTTTCGCATTCCTGAAGCTCCGGCGCATCTCCGGATCTAAGAAATCAGCTTCAGGTAATTCTTCAGTGACTCAAAACCCTTTGATTTTGGTTTATTGAATCATACCTCCCTCACTCTCTTTTGAAAATAATCAAAGTTTTCATCTTCACATACTGCAGCTTCTCCGGCAAACGGACGGACCCATTTAAATTCACAGATAAACTCCGGTGCTGCTTGAAAACCTCAATTCAGTGCCTATACTTCACAATTCAGTGCCTGTGAAACACAAAAAAGGCTCCACATTAAGGGGTTTGGGCTTTCGATTCTCTGTTTTACAAGGGAGCTATTTCGCTCAGAGTAACATGAACGTAAGGGTTTTGCTTTCTTCTCCGATGATAAAATTGGGAACTGAGATTATCGCAATGTGTATATCGGATCTTATTGTTCAACTATTCTTCTGTTAACGCTAATGTTTTTAAAATTGTTCCCAGCGACGATATTAAAAGGTGTTATTGAAGATGGAGACAAAAATCTCAGAATCAACAACCCACACTTGAGAGATGTTTGCTTTGGTTCGTTCTCTTTACCAGTGTATTGGAGAGCTACACATTCATCCCAATAATGACGTAAGTTGGTTAGATGTTTTCAATCAGATGGTGAACAAAAAATCTAGGGAGGTTCACTTTAAGTGGTCTCTTTGCAAATTTCCAGCTTCACTAAATAGTAACTACAGAAGTTATGAACTTTGGTTTTAAATTATGGTTCACTGCAAATTGAGAAATACTCATAAAGTTTAGCTTCGCCAATACTATGTCCACCTTAGCTTATTACTTAGAAATTATAGTATAGATTTCTATTAGATTGTTATGAGTCCAACGTTTAATTAAAAAAATGGTTCTCCTCCAATTTCGGACACCACCAATTAACCATGTATTTTTCTCAAAAAATCTTCAAACATGTGCACAGCCACAATCAACAGCATCAAATGGGACAACAAATCTTATACTATGAAATAGTTTTATATTTCCCACAATACAGCAACTTAAATTTCTTCTCACCACCTCAACTTTGTAACCATATTTTCTGGTCCATTTTTCCTTTTAAATCATATTTTCTCCAAATAACATATGTTTTTAGGTTTCATAATTACGGAAAAAGGGTTGTATCCTCAATTACAGAAATGAAAATTTACACAATAAGAAAGGGTTGGTCCATTTTACACATTCTTTATTTTTCAATCAAGAAAATAACTCCCCCTAAGGTTCATGTGGTTCTTCCCATCACGACTTCTCTTACTTTCGTGGCCTTCTATTTGTTATTTTCTCAACTAAATATGTATTTCTTAACATTGATTGTTGACTTCCACTACATTTTCATAATGATTTTTCCGACTTCCTTTATTGTCCTATATGTCATTCCTACCTCAGTGAATCTCATGAAGCACTACAATATCAGTTGAAGTTTGTTCACATCAATGAACAAGCTCAAGAGATAAGGGAGGCTCCCCACCTTCATCTTCAATATTGTCAGTTTTAACTTGGCAGCCACTTGTATTTGTTGTACTGGGAAACTCTTTAACTTCTCCCAATTCCTTAAAATAATAAAACCGGTGCCATCCTTACAAGTTCAAAAGTTGCCTTCCATCAATGCCATTATTTGAGGTATTAAATCTACATCGGTTACTAAAACAGTATAAATACTACTTTTCTCCTACACATACTCGCTTAACCTACAATCTCCCCAAAAAAAAGGGTTCTCAAACTTATATTTCTCTTACTATACGTTCGTCACAATGGCTTTCTCATCTCAAAACCTAGGTCCTTACGTCACCTTTGATGAGTTATCTCTCGGCCTAAACCCGCAGCATGTTGTTGGACGTGTTATCAGATCGTGGGAAGTGCGTAGTGAAAACAATCGAGACCAATTCATCGGAATCTCTATGGTCATGCTTGATGAAAAGGTATTTGGTATTTGTTTAAATCTATGTATTTTGTTACATTTTATCCTCTATTCATATTTTCTGTTTCGTTGAACCATATCCGGCTTGGTAGTCTATACAATTGTCCCTCTACCTGTTTTTAACAATTAGAACTTAACTGTTTTACCAATAAGTACCCAAAAATTTTCTCGTACTTATGTGTTTATTATCCAAATGATCTACTCTAACAATATTACTTATCAACAGGAATCTACAATCTATTGTTTCATATCATCACCACTTCCCCAAAAACAACTCTCCACTTTAAGGGAGGGGACTATTTTCCAACTTGGTGGGTTTGAAGTCAAACCGTGCACTACACACCACAAAATCACAGATCATCCATTTGTCATCAAATTCCTTGACCAAACAACTTTTGTTGATTTTCCCACGAACTGGATTAAGATCGGAAAAGACAAATTCAGGGTTCACACACATGACCATTTACTTGCATTTGCTAACACCAACCTCGCTCTCCCAGGTATTTTAGAATACTACAATTTATTTCACTATTTGTTGCTTTTGTTAAACAATTCAATATATGCACCATTTAACACACTAATAACACATACATTCACAATTATGTACACAGATATTGTTGGAAAAATACTATCCGTGGAAGGAACAAATCTGTACAATCCGACTTCCACCCACGCATCTTTCTTCGATTGCAACTCCAACCGTAATACACTATTCAATCAACTAAACCTTATTTCTCACATACTTACGTTATCAAGTTAACAATTGTACGCCTTACTAATTTATCCCCAAAATAAACAGGGACGTCATTGTTTCTTTATCATTGTGGGGTCTTGCTGCTTCCAGATTTCGTTCCTTGCTATACGCACCAATACAAGTCACACCAATCGTATTAGTAACCGCTGTCAACCCAACGATTCTAGATGGTAACATCTAACCTATGTATTATGCCTCAAATAAAATCTATCATACAATTACATATCTACCTAGCATTTACCTAATCTATAAATAAGAAGCGAGACTATATTTGGACTCCACCCTTTCCTCCAGCTTTTTCTTTGATAAGAACATCGACCACATAGCAAAATTCTCAAAAGCGTAACAAATTATTTCCTAATTCTGTACTATTTATTACACACACCTTACGATATCTGGCAAAAGATATATATTAGTTTCTTTACTTTTCGGCTTCGATGTAGGACTAAACCCCACTTTCACTGTTACCGACATAACATCAAAAGTACACAAAAAGGAGACAATAACTATTGGAGAACTATGCGAGTTCACTGGCTTTCCAATAACACAGGTAATCTACACATTCATTATATATTTAGTACTCATAGAAAACCACCGATATAATTCGCTTCTTATTTTAACCACGCTAATATGAATGTAGGACGCCGATTTCATCTGCCAAGCTACAATCGTCGATGTTTTATCCACCTACGGCTGGAACCACATGACTTGCATTGCTTGTGTAGGTGAACTTCAGGCTCATGAAAATTCTCTTCTCTGCGTTCAGTGCCAACTATCCAATCCATACAGAGACGATAGGTACATTAATAGATATACATTACGAAACAAGACACATATTACCGTAAACAATGACACTGCATACACCAAGTTACAGGTTTCATGTTGCGTTTGCAATTCTTGACAGAAGCGACGTTGCAACATTTCTTGTCTCCGACAAGGAGTTGAGGAATTTACTTCCTCCACATAAGTTTGAAGAATTACGTGGAAAGGTAAATCTTCTCGGCAACTAAAATTCCTAACACATATACCTTATGTTTCATACTCTTTCCATCGTTAATAATTTATAATAACAGGTCAAAGAAGAAATATTCCCGGACTTGATTAACTCGCTCGATGACCTTGGAAACACACTTATTTTCCATATCAAGGTCACCGCGTACAATCATTCAGCAAAGAATCGCAGTTTCACGGTTGCAAAAATAACTAACGATATGGGTCACGTACAGGTGAGTTCGACATAATCCCACACTCTTACACTAATCCACTTTAATTTTTTTTCCCATATCTATTAAAACACACTTTCTGCTACAATTTACCAGCCGAATTTCTCGACGGTCACCATCCGACAGAACGAAGCAGCTGGTACAACAAATTACAAATTCGACAATTGTACAGGTGCAAGAGGATCATCCTTTACCATTCCTGCCTTTAATACTACTACGCACAAGAAGCACTATACTTAAAACCATGACGGCCTAGACATGAGCATTCAACCAACTTCATTTCCTAGGAATCATCTATCCATCTATTTCTGCAGCTTTCTGTTTTACTACTTTTACTATTTCTGCTTTCATTGTGCCTAAGTTCAACTGAAGGACACATTGTTTTTCAATCATATAATTAAGAAATCATTACCCTACCCTACTTTGTGTTCTGCAAAAGATGATTGTCATACCCTGCATTCCCCGCTCCATACATACCACACCTGTCCATGGTTTCTTATGCCCAAAGAAACATATAAACCAAACACATACATACAATGAACCTGCTATTCCGTACACACGAATTGTAAATATATTTGTGTGTTCTTAACTTTAAATAATCATAGAGAATGCCATACTAATATTTCAAATCTAACCCACAGCCCTAAACATCCTCACAAACCCAACTAAAAACAAACACGCCGAATGACACTCCTAAATACAGTAATAGTCCCCATTAATACAGCTATAGCCAACCGCAACTCTACTGTCCTCAAATCTACATACTACACAAATCTATCACTACCACATTTTTCTTTGCAACTTAAAATCATATTATTTTAACCGCCCTCAGTTTTTTGAACAATTATTCCTCTCCTTCATGTATATGAACAGTGATTTTCTTAATTGAAATTTCCAATCGTGGTTAAATTTAATTAATATTATGAATAATTACATTATTCATTCGATAAACAAATTTTCCAAAATAGTATTAGCTTCATTCCACAATAATAGGCACAGCAAATTTTGATCTATATATATGTAATTGTAATACAGCGATAGCTCATACAAAAATCCCAACTACATGAACAAAGGGTTTTCATTTAGTGAAAACAATGTCAGTACAAATTCTGTCTACCAAAACATCAACTAAAGGCGATTTGGTTCCACCCGCTAAAACAACCACTACCTCAGCAAGTAAGTATATTACAATTTTTATTCACACAAATGTGGTTTACAATCTAACAAAAACCAATCCAATTTGAGAGCCCAATAAATACTTATAATTAGGATTTGCAAATTACATAATAAAAATTTAAGAGTGTTATAAAACGGCACAATATAGAAGTTAAAAAGAGTGAATTACCATAAATGACATAAAAAAAATTACGAAAAAGCACATTACACAGCCCCATTATTAACAGGGGGCCAATCAAACAGCTCGACTTATAAAGATATGAACTTCTCGACTAAAACCTAAGTTCCCAGTCTCTTCGATTTTCATCTTCCCACCTCCAAATTACATGCAACGGAAACAACCGTTACAAACCACACACTTCAACGTCAGGTGAAAAATAATTAGTAGACCATCAACTTAATGTGCGTACACCCAATAAATCATGAATGGAAAGTACATGACCCTAAAAAAGACAGGAACTCGATAGGACAATTCATTTCAAAATGACCTTATAAATACTGTGAAGATCACTCACTAAACAATTCGATACAAAAAGCTCCAAAAAAAATAGCAGAGACAGAAGGTATATCTTACACTTGCTCCTATGAAACGATGCCCCAGAATACACATAGATCAACAACAATCCATATTATAATCCAAATGCCACATACACAGCAAAGCGACGTCGTCATCCAAATCCCGTACCCGACAAACGCAACACATACACAGACTACAGTCTTTAAAAGAAACGTTGAAGTTCTTCTCACTTACCACGAAATTGGAGAGCTCACCGCAAGAAGATGGGCGGAATACTTTCTCCGCTTCGTCAACGCCGTGGTCATAACAACGGAAGGCCAAATGAATACGGCCATTGAGATCTACTTCACAGTTACAAATAACAACGTCCACGCTCCAGCTATGGCCGATAGAGACATTCTCGTAGCCAGTTTACAGGATCAGAAAAAGCTGCCAACCCATGAAGAGCAAAGTGATGAATGCACAATATGTCTTCAACCATTTGAAGGTGGAAAGTATATCAACAAATTAACATGTACTCACATATACCATAATGAATGTATTATTACTTGGTTGTATATAAACCCAACTTGTCCAATCTGTAGGGCAAGTGAGTTTTAAATATCGACAATGGGACTTCACATTGAAAATATTCTGCATGTTCTAATCTAATAAAACCAGCCATTCCTCAAATCTACGTACTACACAAATCTCTCACTACCACAATTTCCTTTGCAAATTAAGAATCAAATTATTTTAACCGCCCTCAGATTTTTTTACGAGATAGCACTGAACCTTAATACTGAATCTTGTCGGGAATCTACAAAATATTATGGGTTATTCTATGTTAAGTTATATAATTTGAGTTCATACACTGTCCGAACCACCAAAGTTTTGCAACCATTTTAAAACACAACATAAAAATAATCCATCACATTATACAAAAGTCACATCACATTACCAATCACATTCTCATAACTTAACATCCACTGTCATCCACCATAAATCGATCATCGTTTACTCGACACTCCAATGTTTTATCAGGCCAGTAAAGTTACCCATAATTGACAGAATGATTGCATTTTAGTCATTCTGCTCTTTTTTGCTAATTAACAGTTATGCTCTTTACATCTTGTTTTTTTTTTGTTTAAAGCTCTCTACATCTTCGTACAATGACACTTCATATCCCAAAAATATACAACGGCCATATTAATTATCGATGACTAACACTTCATATCCCAAAAATACACAACGGCCAAGTTAATTGTTAATGTTTACACACGATTCATTATTAAAATTTTGAGCACAACTACGTATCCTTAAAAAAAAAATCCTATAAATATAACTTGAACATCTTATAAAATTACATCCACCATATTTTCATACTATCCTTTCCAATGAAAAGATCAATCCAACCCTCAACCTCTCTTACATCCCTCCCTCCAGATCTTCTATCAAAAATCTTATCCCATGCCGGTGAAAACTCCAGAGAAGATGTACGAAATGGCATCTTCATGTGCAAGGCCCTAGGAAACTCTGCTGCAGATATACAAGTTTTCAAAAGTTTGGAATTGCGTGACATTGTCAAATGTCCATTGCTAGCTCTTCGCAAATACGCTGAACTATTCCAGAAATGCTTACTGCATTCCAACCCTGCTGCCCACTACATTAAAGGCTTGTTAGAATATTTACGTTTCGACAACCCTATCGAAGGCCTGAAACATTTGAAGGAAGCGGCAGATGCAACTGTCCCTGTGAATGAAGCACTCTATCTCTACGGAACCATCATGTTGTGCACTGGTCACTACAATATAGGCAAACACTATATGGATAGGCTACGCTGGATGGACGACAAAGCTTTGACTGAACAATGCTGGAAAAATATCATGATCTCAGTTCATGGGATTGGTATCATAACCAAGCCAGAATATATGACCTCTTTATGGGCGATGATGCCTCCGTATGTGTGTAACATAAATGACATGGATAATACATGTGAGAAGTGTTTCCACTACAAGCAAATGATCAAGTTCATCTTCACGATTTAAATAAAATTGATATACTCTTTCTACTTTCATTTTGATTTCAGTTCTCCTGGACTTATTTTTATCTTTTTTATCGTCATCTACTTTTTTATCTTCATTTACGAAAACAAATATATGTTTACAACTTTTAACAACACAATTTCCAACCTTTTAACTTTAACTACATTTAAATAATCATCGCACCGGTCCGCCAATCAACTGCCTATTGTCATTAGTAGGTATCACAACAAAAATAGAAAATTAATTGTCATCCAATCCTCGGAAGAACCACAATGTCATACATTAAAAAAGGACCCGGAATCGTAGCGCATAAGTTAGGTTACACATAATAAAACAATAGGCAATATACATGAGCGACTACAGTACGAATTACAATTTTTATACTAAAATATATTTAAACACAGGAAAACAGTTAAATAACTAGAATACCAAACACATTGCATTTTTTTGAACTACTTATAATATGTTCCTTCATTCAATTGAAATTTTTTTCAGTTTACCTACAAATTCAAAAAATTATATTTTACTTTTATGCAATTTAGTAATATTATCTTTCAGGAAACTACAAATTAAAATTCAGCAATATAATTAATACTGACAACCAAATCATGAACGATGTACATTAAGGTAGGATTATTAAGTGAAATAATAGGACATAATCATTATAACATTCCATTACATAATAATTAAGAGATACAGTGGGGGAGATTATCAACCGCTACCATCGGAACGTCATAACGTACGGCTAGAAAACAAACCGTTCCAAATTGAACAGTTAATTATTTAATTACAAATATACATAATTGTAAATTATAAATTACATTTTAAGGAGGGTGAAGGCGTGAGAGGATTCAAACTGGTTTCGAAACAGAAATAGCATTAAGCAAATACTAAAATCACAACTTAAAGAAAACTAACATTTATTATGATTGCACTACGCTTCATAAAATAAATGAATTCAAACAAAAATTACAATGACCTCAATTTTATTTATAGGACTAGAATTATCGAATAACACAACGTCACAGTGTACATGGATTTCAGTTCGTACGTCAATCATAGGATAAATATATTCTTCTATTAAATACATTAGAATTTTTCCCAATATATCTTTCCAAATATGCTATGTGAGACGAAAGTTTATTCAATTAAATTTATTTTATTAATCACATACACGGAATCATAAAATTATACACTACCTTTCGAATATATTAACTTTCTAATATACGGTTTCAATAACAAAAGTATTTTAGGTTGATTAGAAATAAGAAAGAATATGAACCGATTAATTTTACATGTTCAAAACAGATAATATCAACAGATAATAAACGGTCAATTTACACAAATATATTAATTCGAAGAGAGAAACTAATATTCTTCAATACTGGAATAACTCACTTATGTAGTTCATAATGACTTTTGACAAAACGCTGCTATAAATTACTATTGCCAAAAAAATTATATAAATAACATAAGATATTTGCGATTCTCGACTTAAATACAAAAGAGAGAAACTAATACTTTTAAAAATATAAGAAACGTAAAGCATTTCAACAGTCTCCAATAATACTCTTAAACTATATAAATACCCTCCCACACACTGAGATTTATCCCTACGCTTTAAACTGAGGTGTACCAAATTACAACATCTACCACTCTCATTAAGCTTCGCAGTATTGGTTTATTTTTATTAAAATAAATTGCGTACCTTTATACACTGTTACATACATAACATAAATTTATATCTTATCTCTGTAGACTACGTTACTTCACCAACAATGGCTGCTAAGAAGGAAATTTCAGCGACTCAGGTGCATAGCATGGACGTTGACAACCTATCATTAGGAACTTCAATGCAACAAATAACAGTTCGTATGATGAGAATGTGGGAAGCTCGGAACTTCAAAAAAAAAGGGGAACTCATGAGCCTCGATCTACTCTTACTTGATAGCAAGGTACACAATAATCTATCAACTAATACCACTCTAACAAAAAAAAGGGTCACATTAATTTCTTTCAATCATCGGCTAAGAAATTAATTACATGAGACATTTCTGCAGGGTACCTTCATACAAGCATCGATCCACCACCGGCGTGTACCAAGCTTCAGGAATTTCCTTCAAGAAGGAAAGGTGTATAGCATTGCCAACTATGAAGTCATCCCAGCTTACGACCGATACAAGGTTACAAACAATAACAACACCATCAGATTTACAGACAGCACAGAAATAACAGAAGATGAAAAGGAAGACTGCTCCATAAGTTATGAAAGTTTCAGAGTATTACAGTATTCTGAATACCTAGCATTGGCAAATACCAACTTACAATTACCAGGTTATCAACTCCGACCATCATCATTATAAAATTCGAACTCTACTTTTAACATCAACTTCTTACAGATGTTGTCGGACAACTACTAAGTGTCCAAGGAGCAAATCTTCAAGACACCACCTCCACTCAGAAGATTGTTATGTTGCTCATGCTGAAAGAGTGAGCCTTATAAAATTATATGTAACCTTAAATATCTTCCTAAACACTGGTTACATACATTTGTTTAGAGTCATTTATAATATACTAATCTCGCACCATATTTGTTTTCCAAAACACTTAAATTAAAAAAAAAGGGACAACCGTTCACCTAACAATATGGGACCAATAAGCACAAGATTTCAGAAAAGCCTTTACCCTTGAAGGACATGATGAAGTTGTGGTCGTTTGCACGTGCATCAATCCGAAGCTGTTCGCAGGTATTTGCAATTATCGTCAACACTTTTAAAAATTCTTACTTTACTCATTTCCGCTCCCTATTCAACATATATGAACAACTACTGTGCTTCTATACAGGTACCCTATACTTGAATTCCACAGGCGCAACCAAGTTCTTTTTCGACAAGGGACTTCAAATTATCAAAGATTTCTCGAAAAGGTAAATTATGAATTGCACAAGATGAATTAACGCCTCCACAACTTTTTACAACGACACATATTATAATATTAATCCACAGGGTCGGTAAAAATAAGATCAACCAGCGGCCATCAGTCCAGAATGAGGAAATGACCCAGAAAACATTTGAAAAATCAACACTGACATCACTGTTGGAATACGCTAGGTCCTCTGCAAAACAGGTACACAAATTTTCTTATAAGATGATTATTTCTTCATAACTGGATTTGTTCTAAAATTTAAAAAAAAAATTAATTAAAATGGATTAATGTTCATTATTACTTAAACCATCTTAATAGGAAAAGGAAGTCATATGCAGAGCAACAATTGCTAGCATAAACACCAGAAATGGTTGGAATTATGTGGCATGTGGAAGATGCTCAAAAAAACTTGTCCGTGGACTATCTTCATTCACTTGTACAACTTGCAACGACACTAACGCCATGGGTGTTTTAAAGTAAGAAACTCATAACGAAATATTTTAATTTAAATAACCTACATATCATAAATGTTGGCAAAAAACAAATTCCATATTTCATTTTTATATACAGATTCAGAGTGTACTTGACAGTTGTTGATGCCGGCGAGGAAACTAACTTTGTGTTTTTCAACAGAGACACCCGTAAATTGACTAACACAACTGCTGAAGATATTAACGAGGTCCTCAACTGAAATCGATGCATTACAATGACATCAAATTTATATACAGCACAGACACTATTCATTTTTACACTACAATGTATTTGTTGCAGGCCAGGGCGGGTGATAACGGATCGAACCGCAACAATATTCCCCTGTGCATAACTGACTTGGTTGGAAAGACAATGGATTTTCAATTAAAAATCACAAACTTCAACTTCAAATCATCCTTCCAATCCTTCACCGTGTCAAAGGTACTTCGTGAAATAAATAGGAGCCCCACTGAGGTAATATTCCAGTTAAATAAATTCTCGCTTTTCAGAGATTTAACAATTACTATTGGCTTACAAACTATCGCTTTAACCAGGAAGTAATCACGGAAGAAACACTCAATCCTAATCTGTCTGACCTGACATACAACATCAACGACATCGAAAAGGAATCAATCCCGGTGGGAGAAACACTTGTTTCTGATGAAGTACTATCGGAATGCACACACGCACAGGTTTTAATAAATTAACAAAATAAACCATTGTATATTAAACTACACACACAACGTCCACACAATCTTTACCTTATTCTTTTTTTTTTATATAAAATTCTTTACCTTTACCTTATTCTTATTCTTATTATTCACAAGGAGGACAAAATCAAGTTGACTGATTCAAAGAAGGAGAACATTACTCAACCTGAAAAATTACAGAGTGCTGATACAAATGAACCCCATTCCTCAAAAGTGAAATCCAAGAAGCAACGCACACATTGAAAAAACCTGGAGCGAATAAATCCCTTATTCCATGGAAAATCAAGACATTATATAATTTACTTATTTTTAATATTCCAAGTTAATTGTTTCTTTCATTTACTTTCTCTTTCTACATAAACCATTAGGATTACCATCTTTTGACGCTTTAAATTTAATAATTTCTAAAATATGCATCGTTCATCAATACCTACTCCTCTAAGATTAACCATCTCATAAAATTAAGAATATTACAACTTTCAACTAATTAAGTGTATAGACGTCTAAGTAACGACAAGCCCTCAATTGACCTCACCAGTTACTGAATATAAAAATAACCTAATCTGCAAAATTAGACAATTAGAAATTGGTCAAACCCCTCAATAATTAAAATCAAAGAAAGACATGAAATTTACAAGAGTGTACCTCAAAAGGAGGGACAACTATTAGTATTACTTAAATATCTTTTTTTTTAAATTCCGTGTCACTTTAAATTTTGAAACCCCTTTAATTACTACATAGCAATTTATATTGCTACTAATTACAAGTAACCATTTACAGCAAAATAACCCAAAAATAACAACAGCAACTCAAACAAAACTGCTGCTACAGCAGACCAACTCTCTTCCAAAACCGACAGCAAGTTATGTAATTTTTGAGCATATTATTGTAATAAAAGTATGGTAAAAATTTAATGCAGCAATAACGTCACAAAGACGTGGAATCGCGAACAACATACAAATTTTACACTGCAAAATAATAAAAAATTTAAATAATAATACAGATACTCCTCCATGCATCTTATAGGTTATCAGTAATAATTTGTAATGGAAACTAATTGAGACCAAAAAGTTTAAAGGTGATAAGGCCAAAGATAACAGAATCTTCAATCTTAAAAATGAATTACACAATGACAGGCAATTAATTAAGAAACATTAATCATTCCAAATCCAGTTTCAAAAAATAAACAATATATATTCCAAAACAGTTACACGTATGTAACTTAATATACACATGACCTGCGATCTTCGATCTCTGTGACAGCTAGAAACTGAAGTTGGATTAAAAAAATAGGAAAAGACACAAAATAATAAAAACTAAAATAAAAGGTTGTGCAGCACGAAACACTGAGAACTTATCAACATAATCGACCTTGCAAAATTCAGAAAACAAAGTTCACCAGTTCGCAGAAAATGTAAACAGCCGTTCTTAAAATTATAACAAAATATATACAAACTACTTTACATAATATGATGCCCCATAATAAAACCAATATATAAAAAATAGAATATACACAAATAAATAACACACATCACACACAAAATTACAATTTCCAAAATAATCCTCACGTCAATGACTACAAATACTAAGATTGAGTTTACTGGATAATCAAAAATTACCCACGTAACATTCGCCTTCAATATGACTCTTTCATTTCACACGCATAATATTTAAACTAATAACGCCTGCCGCATTCCAATAAATTAATTTACAGAAACAATTATTATGACGTTACATTTTGAGTCCAAAGAAATCAAAGAGTGAAGGGAATAACTGTTCCGATTAGGAGTGTCAAAATTTCAAATATAAGAAGATCAGTGTATTCAGTTTAACACTTTCTGCTAAGTTTACCCTACAATAGAAAGCGGAACGGAGGTGAACACCAACACAGATGAAGCTTCAAGCATACAACGAAGGCAAGTTTTAAACAATCTTCTCATCCCTACATATTCCAAAAAACATGGAAAAACATTAACTTTTTAACACATTTTGATTACATATAATATACGTCCTACATCATGGGACATTTCATCCTAACTATTTTCTTCACCGTGAATTGATCATCAATCACCTTTGTTATAGCCTCCACAACCAAGAACACAACTATATTCAACGGAGTTCCAGAAGATTACCTATCAGAAGTAACAAAGGACATCGAGTAATAGAAGGGTAAAAATAACATCGCTTTATTTACTACTCCAACTAATTGTGCTCAAAATTTATCTCACTAAACTTTTTTTTAACCCACTGCAACCATATCACTATAATCCAGTTCATAAAATTCTTGTATTTACGAGATTATATATATATATATATATATATATATATAATTTCTAAAAGAAATATATAACATTTACGAGGTTACTAGAAGGAGATGGAGTCACTTAAAAGAAAACATCTACTGTCTGGGGAACAATCTTCAAAGGAGAACCGGGCAAAGAGGAGGACGATTATGATTTCTAAAAGAAAAGGTACATTCAAATACAATATAGCTACTAACATTATCCAGCAACTGAATAAACATTTACACGCAAATATTGTGTGCTTATAATCAAAACCGATTACACTTAGCAAAATATATGTTAAATTTAACAAAGAGAGTATAGGGTAGGCAACTTTATTAATTATTTTAAAATGATAACATGTATTGTCAATTATGGTTTTTTTTTTTCAAATACACTTTCGGTATAACGTAAAAAACTAAATTTCTAGACTTTAAGTTAATTGAAATAGTAATTATGTTTGATACATCTTTATTATATTCAAAACAATATTCTAAAACAATGTACGTAAAAAACTGATTTCTAGAGTTTAAGTTAATTGAAATAGTAATTATGTTTGATACATCTTTATTATATTCAAAATAATATTCTAAAACAATGTAAGACGACTTCCAAAGTGTGGAAATACCGTCAACAAAAAAGGATTATAAATTCATTTAGTATTACTTATCAACGAAGCAATTACAACGTAATCTGCATATATAGGTGAGGTGATGGAGACAAGAACAACAATTAGGTCACAACTTCCACCAATGCAGTCACCCATAGAAGCAAGTAACTATAAAGGTATGCATTTCTGTAAACACAATACAAAATGCGGTGTAAGAAATAGACAAGCAACAGCAAATATATGAAAAACTAACAATACTTGACCATGTATTAAACTTACGTCAACCACCAATACTACATTGAATGTGATCCCTCATGATGCAGAGATAACGTGTTTAGCAAGGAAAACACGGATGGAAATTTTGAGAATAAAAAGAAATGCTAGAAAGCACAATGGTACAGCAACCTCAAAAACCAACATTAACCATGTTTTTAGGAAGCACTCCTGATTTTAATCTACAGAATGAAATTTTAAAAAACACAAATCTACTGTGACAGATTCCACCAGGGACAAAACGTTGAAGAGCCACTCAAAACACACTGCAAAAATCAGCCTCAAGATTAGTATGTCTGTTTTCTTTTTAATATTTTATGATGATGCAAAACTGATAAGATAATGGTATTACGTTTATTCTCTGTCACTTTACAACCTACAGCCAACACACTAATGTTTTACATGTCAAATAAAATATCAACAGAGAAAACAGTACAGAAAGAGGGAATCATCACAAATCCTTTGGCATCACGAACGAAACCTCCCCTACGGAAATGTAAGATCATAAATGAGTTCTTATTCTCATTAAACAATCAATTAAAAAACAGCTAATCCACTGACCACTCAATTAGGCCGTCCAAAACCAAAAAGGGGGAGTCCAAACGAATTACAAGAATGCATAATGTGTGGAGCTTTAGTTTGGGAAGCTGAGAGCACAGAGAGATCTTTAAGTGGCGAACTATTATACCCACTCTGTTGTCAAAAAGGAAGGGTCCTACTGCCACCATTTAAAGAGCCACCAAGCGAATTAGCAGACATGCTCACAAGGGCTCAATTAATGCAAAAAATAAAGGTTCTCAATTCGCTACTTGCATTCACATCCATCGGTGCAAAAGTGATAGGGTCAGATTTTACCCAAATAAAACTACTGCAAGTGCACAGCAAAAGCAGTTGTAGTACAAGGGGTTATCGAATCCCAAGGGAGTATGTAAACCACACTAGCGATTATAGATTCAGATTAAGCTAAGCGATAAATAATGAATGTAATGCAAAACAGTAAAATAAATGCAAGAGGGCGTTTTTATGCTTGTTCTTAAAGTTCAGAAGGCTAAAGGCGCTAAGTCAGGACAGTTTGCAGGTTGAATCCTTAAAACCGTCTTGAACATGAATCGCAAAGATATAACTAATCAATTCTCATTGAAGAAGTTATCTTTGTCTAAATCACAGAGTTTCAAATCTCTTTGCAAACCCTAACAACCTAAACATACAGTAATGATCAGGTTCAATTGTTCACAAAAATCCTAAGCCAAATCTCTTTGTACTAGGGCGTTTTGCTCATCTAATACTAGTTCAGGTGATTAATAATGCTCTCACATCTATCAAAAACCTAGGGTTTCGAAATCCAGATGATGTGTCTAAGAAATCGATATGAATGCAAGCACAGATGAAGAACCAATGAATTTCCTATAAGTTTTTAGCAATTCTACAAACTCTTCTTCAACCTTTGAAAAGCCCTAACTTAACTAACAAACTACTCAGACATGGTGATTTGAGAAAACATCATGAAAAGAATAGATTGCATAAAAGAAATAAGAAGTAGAAATAAAGGAGTTCAAAATCTGCTCTAAAGGAGTCTGATTTGTCTCTCCAAAAGCTCTGCTACAAATCTCTCTCTAAAGTTCTCAAAAATAATAAGATACAAGATATCTGCCAAAAGAATGGCTGAAAAACCTAATATACAAGCTAAAACACGATCTGGGGTCTTTTGCAAATATTGGAACTTTTGGGCCAAAACTGCAATTCCTTCCCAATCTTTTAAAAACAGGCCACGACCCCTTCCTTTCTGGGTGACGAGCATCACCGGATTGGTGACGAGC